GGGGGGTTTTTTTTTGGGGGGGGGGGGGAGGGGGGGGGCATGGAAGAAGACAAGGATCAGGCTCCACCGAGCAGGGGTGCGGCAGGCAGGCAGGCGTTTTGGTGCTCCACGGCGGTCTCTGACGAGATCCCACGTCCATGGCAGCCCCACCCTGGCTGCCGGGTCGTCGTGGCGCCGCGCTGCCCCGCGACTCACGGAGCGCCTTGTGGACCTCGGTATTGCAGCGCACTCTCAGGCCCCCCCCCGCACAGACACACGCACACACACACACCTCCCATCCAACCACCCCCACACAGGGTGGACGAGGCCTGGAAGCTGGTGCTGGAGCTGGAGGCAGCAGGACAGCTGGGCAACGAGCACCTCCTCCGCGCGCTGGTGGTGTGCTTCGGGCGCAACAACGCGCGCGGCTACCTCACCTCGCTCCTGGCGCGCCTGGAGGCGCTGCGCCTGGCCCCCCCCCAGCCCTTTACAACGCGGCCATCGACGCGTTCGCCGAGTGCGGCGACGTGGCTGGCGCGGCGGCGGTGCTGGCGCGCGTGCGCGCCGACCCGCGCGGTCCCGCGCTGCGCTCCGTGGCGGGCTACACGAGCCTGGCCAAGGCGCAGGCCGCGCGCGGCGACGTGACGGGCGTGCGCGCCACACTGGCGCAGGCGGCGGCCGACGGCGTGGCGCCCAACGTGTTCACCTGGAACTGCCTGCTGCACGCCTGTCGCGTGGCCGAGGACGGGCCCGCGCTGGCCGCCGCGCGCGCCGACATGGCCGCCGCCGGCGTGGCGCCCAACGCCGTGACGCACGACACCGTGCTGTCGGCCCACGCCGCACGCGGCGACCTAGACGCCGCGCTGGCCTACGCGGCGGCGGTGCACGGTGATGCGGAGTGCGACTACAGCCTCTTCTTCCAGACCACCCTGCTGCGCGTGATGGCGGGCGGGGGGCGGGTGCGGGAGGCTCAGCGCATCTTCCGCGACCTGCGCGCCGGCGGCGCGGCCGACGACGTCGCCTACATGACCTTCATCGACGGCATGCTGGACGCGTGGGAGGGGGGGGCGCGCGCAGACGAGGAGCTGTTGGACCAGGCCCTGGTGAGTGCGCGGAATCCCCTGGAATGGGGCAGGGGGCATGGTTGCAGGGAGTTGAGAGGAGCCATCTGAGCAGATGGAGGGGTTGGGGCGGCGGGAACTCCGGGCTCAGGGGGGCCCCCGTGCGGGGCGTGTGCGGCAGCACATGTCGCGGGAGCCGCAGGCGACAGCGATGCTCTAGTGCGTGCACCCCAGAGCGCGGGGGCTGCGATGCCGGGTCCACAACTCCTCCTCCCCCTTGCCCCGGTGCATGCAACACCCACGCACACCGCCCTCGTCCACAGGAGGCGTTCGAGGGTTTGGCGGAGGCCAGCCCTCGCCTGCTGGAGCCCCGGCCGGAGGTGGGCGGGGCGTGGGTCCTGGACCTACACTCCCACAGCGCCTGGACGGCGCAGCTGACTGCGCTGCGCATGCTGCGCTCCTTCTCGGCCCGAGCCTCGCCCCCGACCCTCAAGGTCATCACCGGCCGCGGCCGGCGCTCCAACTTCCGGGGCGGCGGCGGGGAGGGCAGGGGGCCGGTCAAGGCTGGGTCCAGCCTGCGGGATGCGGTGCTGAGGTGCCTGGAGGGTCTGGTGGACGTCCACCAGTCCGTCCAGAACGGCGGCGTCCTCTTCGTGCTGGGCCGGGAGATCGAGCGGCTGGCGCGGAGGGGGGCGCTGGCGTCGCCGGACACCGTGGCGCGCTGGCTGGTGACCCCACGCCGCGTCGAGGCGGCGGAGGAAGCCGAGGACCCGGGGGATAGGCTGGGGAGGAAGGAGGCAGCGGCGCAGGTGCTGCAGGGCATTCCGGCCCCCTGAGGCTGCCGCGGCTCGCTGAGGCCATGACAGAGGCACCCGGACGCCGGGGCTCCTCCATCGGTGCTCGTAAGATTGTCGATCCGCCTAGAGTCCTTTTTCTACCTGCTAGCCGTGGCAATGAATGTCATGGGCATCACAACTCTCCCAAGGTGTTTGTGTACATATCCTGTACAGCGGGGGGATTAACCCCTCCAGAATCTGGCTTTAAAAGGAACACGTGTCCGGAACGACCCCCCCCATCGCGCCGTACATGCCTAGCTCAGCTCCGAGGCGAGAGCATCGTGTAGAGCATCGGCGTGTTGCGACAATGTTGTCAGCCGGCATGTAGTCGCCTTCCTGTCGGGAGACGGACAGATGCGGCAGAGACAGGAGGCGTAGGCACCCGCCGAGAGGCTGGGGATGGCTTGGAGTGAGCTCCTATGGGAGTACCTGGCAGCAGTGCGCAGGACTCCACAAATCTTCGCCCGCATTGGTTTCAGAAAGCGAACCCTGGAAGACTGCCTGAATGACGTGCGCCTCGAGGAAGGATCGCCGGGAAGCTCCATTTTTTCATGGGAGGGATTGTGTTCACCGTGACTTGAGGCCCCACACCCTCACCCCTGCTCCCCCTCCTGTCGCCCCTTGCACAGGCCCTGCTGCAAGGCACCCTGCGCAAGGTCTTCAGTGGGCTGGACCTCCTCATGCTGGGCCTGGGCATCACCATCGGCGCAGGAGTCTGGCAGCTCACCGGCTTGGCCGCAACCACCCTGGCAGGGTGAGGACGGGCTGGGCTCGCGAAAAGGGGGCCGGGCAGCGCAGGGTTTGTTGGCATTGGTACAAATGCAACTCTGAGCAGTTCTGGGTTGTTGGCCCCCAGCGCGAAGGCCTCTGCTGGACGCATGCATTCCGCACGGGGCACAGCCGCATGGGACTCACCACTGCCATTCGCCGACATCCAATCCACCGACAACCCCGGCACTCCCCAGGCCGTCCATCATCATCGCCTACCTGCTGGCCGGCACTTCGTGCACCGCTGCGGCGGCCTGCTATGGAGAGCTGGCAGTGGTGAGGCGGCGCGGTTTGGTCTTGCCTGGCGCGGCGCTACGTCGTCGTCGTGCCTCACGCTCGGGCCATGCTCCGGGACCTGTCTCACCCATGACGCTCTCTGGTTTGAGGACGCACGAGTCCTTGCGTCATGCCCCTGCCAGGACCCACGGACGCGCAGCCGCCATTGTGACCGCCCTCAGTCTCAGATGGCCAGTGCCCCCCGCCCTCGCGACATCGCCTCCTTCCCATCACCCACCCCACTCCCCTCACCCTCCCCCAACGCAGGAGTACCCCGTCGCCGGCGGCTCCTTCACGTACATCATGCTGACCTTTGGCGAGTTCCCCGCCTGGATCGCGGTCTCCAACCAGATGGGCATCGAGGTGTTTGGCTCCGCCGCGCTGGCCCGCTCCTTCTCCGCCTTCCTGGCCTCCATGTGCGGCCAGCCCCCCACCTTCTTCACGCTGTCGGGCAGCCATGGCGACGAGGACGACTGGAGCATCGACCTGATGGCAGGGGGGGTGACCCTGCTCATCACACTGGTGTTGACGCTGTCGGGGCGGCTGTCTGGCATCTTCATCACCGGCGTCACCCTGGTCAAACTGGGCCTGATCCTGTTCATCCTGGTGGTCGCCTTCACCAAGGCGGACCCCTCCAACCTGCACCCCTTCTTCCGCGACGGCGACGTGGGGGGCATGCTCAGCGCGGCCTCCATCTTCGTCTACACCATGACCGGCTTCGACTCCATCTCCAACGCTGCGGAGGAGGTGTGTTGATGAGGGGGAGGAATAACGAGGGGTGTGTGGGGGGGGCGTAATAACT